TTTCTCTGCTTTGATAATTAAAGCTCTTGAGCGGGAAGGACCTTAAAGAGTACTTCAGAAGAAGAGTTTGGCTCTTGGAGAAGTCTAGGCTTTCACATTTAATCAGTGTTTTCATCCTCTCGTTATGAATCTAGAAGCATTTTTGCACATCGTTCTCCTCCTGAGTGAACTAGGATGGACTAGGTTAGGGAATACCTGCTGCCTCAAAGCATTTCTGCACCATTCTCCAAAATGAGACAGGGTGGATCTGAAGACCGTGTGTCTCATTATGTCATTTACTCCTTCTCTCAGAGGAGATCTGAATGTTTACAAAATTCAGGAAAGTACTTGTTTTTTCAGTTGGTTATTGGATTTTGAAGCTGGCAGAACAATTGCTTCCATACTCAAGCCTCTGCAGTCCCCATTAGAAGCCACACCACCTTAAGTTTTGCTGGTCAGTCCCCAGTGTGAGTTGTTTGCTTTCAGGAGGTTTGTTCCTGCTGCCATTGGTTGTTGGAAGGTGGCATGAGAACTGCATTTTCATTGTTCTCTTTGGACACAATAGCAAAACTCCATGAAAGCGCCATGCATCATCCATGGGCTGACCCCCCAATTAATAATTTTTGCAATTACCAGCTGGTGTCAGTCAGATCACTTCAGAGATTTGGAAGCCAAGAGGAAACTGTGGGAGTCAGACCGAAAAGAGAGAACATATATCTCTTTCTAAAAAAGAATTGTCCATGGTCTCACAGTGAACTATAACAATTACATAAAACAAACAAAACTTTTTCGTGATTCTCTAAAGCAGTTCCCATGGCACTATTCATAAAACACCATATGGAATTCTGTATATATTGGAAAATATCCTTATAATTATGTAAACAGCTTGCAGAATAAGCTGTAGAATGGAGACTAGAACCTAGCCATAACTGCAGTGACCTGTTTTTATTTATTGATTGACAGTTTGTCAGCTCTGTAGGAATGTTCACTGTGGACATACTTAAAAGACAGTTGCTTTGTGCCACTAACTTAAGGGTTCCCTGAATATGAAAGAGTTTACTCTCTTCTACCATCTAAGCCTTCCTAGGTAATAATATGGCTAAGTTCTAGCTTCTGAAAATGTGTCCATTTGACTCTTCATTCTTTCTAGGGTTACCCCATTATGAGTCCATAATTTCTTACACCAAGTCACCTGCCTTTTCCTGTTCAGTTTGAAATTTGGGTGGTAGAGCAGTGTGCATGGTTGTGTGTACATGTTAGGTGTGCATTTCAGAAGGGCCAGAAAATCAACTCAGCTGGTACAGTCTGTAACCACTGAAATGAAACTCAGTACCGGGATGAAGGCAGAGATGTTTATTGAAAGTCTTAAGTGAGTATGACTTGCTAATGCCTGCAGTCTTCAAAGTAAAATGAACTTCCAACTTGTGATATAAGAATATGAATAGGACCGTGCTCAGTGTTGCACACACAACTCTCAGACTTGTTGCTCGCAAGCCTGTCACAAGCCTGGCTTGTTGTTATTAGCTCTGGAGTTCATGAGAAAAAAGCAAATTCATTCAGTGCTTCCTTTATGGAAATACTTTCTGAGCTGTTTGGGAGAAGCTTTGAGACAAAGATGTACTGCATGAATCTTCATCGCTTTTCATAGTTGATTCTGAGTAGTGAAGAACTTTCGGGAGTGTGCAGAGACCTTAATTGCCCTAAGTCACACCAGGCAAGTTTGTTTCCTTATCTGCTAAAAAATGCCAAGTGGCACCAGTCACTGAGGGGGAAGAGTTTATTTTCACTTCATCTCATCGCTATCAGGCAGGTTATTCCAGGGCAAAGTGAGCTAGTGTAAAAGAAGAACAGGTTAGAAATGTTGCTTTTGGCTATATTGGAAAAACAAGGAGCATCAGAGAAAGCAATGAAGTAGGATGAAGCAATTTTTAAGGACCTACTCCAGTAGTAGTAGTATAGGCTATTCAGGGCACAATTAGGAGTTACTGAGGTGCTTCAGTGAAGAAGATACAATGGGTTTCATTCACCTGTTTTTTTTATTGCTTTTGTGTTGGCCACAATATGGTAGGTATGATGCAGTTAGGGCACACTTGCAAAGAGTCTGGGAAATCAAGGATTGAGGAGACAGGGATATATGAAGTGATACGTGTGCACATTGCTGCATTTTTGCAAAGTAAAATACCAGATCTGTAGATGAACCACAAAATATACATCAATGTTTTTTTGATATGAGTTCGTGTCGGTCACTGTGGATGGGATCTGGCCGATTAGAGGTGTCTGATGACAATATCTACATTTGAACTAGACAGAGGAGGAAAGAAAGCACTACTGGAGTAAAGTTCACTCAATGGATTCACCCTAAAATTCAGGAAAGTTTGTTACCTAAACACAGGTATGCTGCCTTTCCGTGGTCGCTCTGAACTGCTAGATCTCATTACAGTGAACGAGAGTCATTAGTTTTAACCTCCAGTAGACATCTCATTGGTGTACTGAGTCCTGCCTGTCTTGTGCTAGGCATCACGGGTACACCAGCTGAGCCACACTATTCATGCAAAATAGTATTTCCAAGGACAATCATTACCCTTTGTGTGCGCTGTCACACTTCCCGAACAGCTGCCATGCCTGATGCTTTGTTGCTTTTTTAGTTGTTGCTTTCATTTTTTACTATTTTGCATAAATATTATTTATTATATTACATAAACATAACAAGAAAGTTGTATGGATATTTTACTCCTTTTCAAGGACTCAATTTAGTCCTTTAGAAGCAAAACCTTGGAAAAAGCTTCTAAAAAAGCTTTTAATATACTATAAATGTTGTCATAACACTGAGAGTCTGTCCTGCATCAAGTTCTGACATAGCTATTCCCTCTGACTTCAAAGGTCAGGCCTAAGTAACCTCTACGCAGTGTTGCTACAGCTTGCAGAGCCCAACCCAGAACGACACCGTGATGGTGAGCTTTCATGAGACAGCTCCCTACTCCTACTCCCAGTTTTGGGGCAGTAGAAAACAGTTCACTTATTTTTTTTTTTCTCTGCTGCATTAGTATTTTTGCCACCGTTTGAGCTTAACCAACTTGTTGAAGGGTCTGACAAGTGCCAGAACCAGCACAAGAAGAGGGACCTTAGACTTGTACCTAGGATGAGAAGATTAGGAGGAAAGGACTGACCCTTTCAGCAACAGGAGCTGTTAAATCTCCTCGACCATCTCATTATCTTGTTTCACAGTACTCACACTCTTTACGTTCTTCATATGTATGTGTATGTGCATAAAGAAATCACTCTTATTATAGGGAAAAAATGCATAAAGCAAAATTATTTTCGTATTCAGCAGTGAAATTAAAGCGTCGCAAAGTTCTGAAGATTATATACATACAGGCTAATATTAACTTTTCATTTATGGGATAGATGTGTGTTTATACATGCTATTAAGTGAGAGTTAGTATACCTAAATATCTGCATAAATGTACAAGTTGCTCTTTCTTTATCCTAGGAAGCATGGCTGCTATTTGATTGGAATAAAGATGGCAGATCAAGCCCAAAGTGTTGACTGCATGCTGTGATTGTATTTCCATACACTGTAAAGTGAATATCTGCTTAACTATAGAGCTTAAGTGTTAGAAAACTGACAGCACTTCTTTGTACCCTCCTTGCTGCACGGAGTTGTCTGATTATGAGATGTCTGATGCCAAGATTTAGAACATAAATGCTTGGAGCTGTTTTTATTATTTAAAACTGCTGTTGCCCTTTATGAATGATTAAATTACTCCATGTCCTTTAAAATGTCCTTCAGAAAACTCTGTCGTTTGGAGAACACCCATCCAGAAACAGGCTTCCTTTCATTTGTGATTAGAAACTAATCTGCACATCTCTGCTGCAGCTGTTTCTCTTCACTTGCACCGATAGGAAGTTTACAAATATCTTTGCTACCACAAGGCCTCGTGAAGTACGTGAAGTACATCTATGAAAGCGCACTCATTATTCACATGACTGAGATTTCCACTCCACTCCATGACAGATGTACCACCGGTGCCCCTCCTCTATAACTGAATCCAGTTTTAATCTGATACGCATCTCCCTCAGAGAAAATGGGAAATAATAGTGTGGAATGAACCATGGTATTCCATCATCTTTGCAAGCCCCACTCACATTTTACTCAGTCTTCACTCACAGTTTAATCAAAAAAATAAAATTATTTTCATTCTCTTGTTGATATGTAGCGTTTACCAGCTTGTGTTCTTTTATGAAAGATAATTTTTAGCCAAAATATTCTGAACTGTCTTCAAAATAAAAGTGCCAGATAACATTTTGCTTACCTGTTAACTTTCTTTGAAAAATGAATAGCCAGTGTTTTTTCCAAAGTCAGGGAATTTAAGATGATAACTAGAAACAGAACAAAGTGTGGAATAGTCCCATTCCTGTTCCACCAAGATACAGTATTAGCCCCAGCACTTGGGGCTGTTTGTGTGGTATTGCAGAACAAACCAGAAGGCATTTGGTTAGAAATAATCCTTCAACAGGCAGACAGGATGATCTGAGGGCCTGTGTTCAGTAACTTCATAGGGGAACATTTCTACTGTAGCTCAGCTGTTTGGCACAAATAAATGCCCCAAGTTCACTTACCTGAGTCAACAGAATTGGACCAAAGGTGAGTGTGTTGCCATGAGAACGGTGTATTTCTTCTCCCCAATAAATTCAAAGAGGAAAAACGGTTAGGAAAAATAAGCAGGAAGAAAAGACGTTTGGAAGTTTTCGGATACAGAGTGAGGCCAAAACGTGGAGGGTGCTGAGCAGCTGCAATTTATTCATAGGATTTGCAGTCACTCTGCACTAACGTGTTACAGTTGAACCATCCATTGGTGTAAGGGCATGAGCACCGTGGAGCGGAGCTCAGACTTATGCTTTCAGCCCCAAGTGCAACGATTGCTTTGAAGTTTCAGCTGTCTTGCCATCCAGAGACCTTCCCAAACTCAGAGGTGTTTTCTTGCCTCAAAAAAGTATCTGAATTCTCTTTTGTTTTCCAGAATCAGTGGATAATTGTCCCAGTAATTGCTATGGGAATGGAGACTGCGTGTCTGGGACTTGCCATTGCTTCCTTGGCTTTCTGGGCCCTGACTGTGGCAGAGGTAGGAATTTATATTTGATTAACTCTTCCCCTCTACCCTTCGGTTAACGTTTTTCTCGTGGAAATTATATTCATGCCTGTGCCTTTTGCAAAATACACCTCGCCCAGCTTGGGGACACTGCAGTAGAATGGAAAAGTGTTGGATCTGTGGATTTGTTTGCTACTAGTCATGATTGCCGTGACCTTAGCAACAACACAACCCTCCTAGCTGCACACAGACAGGCAAAACGTTACATGGGGAATTTTCTGTCTGGAAACGACTTTAGAAAACATGATGTATAAATGTGGCATTACTGTTTGTTTAGCAGAGCACTCTATCATTGTGTGGCACGTCTCTATAATGAGACTTTCCTTTAAGACGCAGATGATACCAAAATTAAGTGCCTTTTTCATTGCTACAGGCCTTGCAAGTCTGCCTGAGGATGAATGATTGCTGACAGCCTGGCTGTGGGGAGTGGGGCAGGGTTACAGTAAGGCTAGTAGTGGAGTAACAGCAGGGAGAACTGGATGTTCTGGCCAAAAGTGAAAACATTGGCATGACTGAGAAGGAGGCTTACCCCAGCAAACAATGCAATACATTTTTCTGCTCAAGTGATAAGTATTTTTAATAAATGGTTTTGGAAAGATTTTCATTTGACCTGAAATTTGTAGGTTATTTAAACAATCGAAAAACAAACTGAAGTACTTTTAGTGAGAACACGTTTCAGACCAAGAAATCAAAATGTTGCATGTGGGAAATGCCAGAATGCTGTGCATCAACCTTTTCGAGGCCTTTTTTTTGGCTCAAACAGTCCAACAAACTAAGTGCAGATTTATAAATCTGGGGAAGGAGGTAGTGTAAAAAGTTAGTGCCCACACAAGGAGCTTTGCTAAGGCAACAGGTCAGGCCTTCACCCCAGCCCATTGCTTCTTTGGAAAGCAGGCTGGCTCCTTCCCAGGAGAGAGAGCTAAACTCTGTCCAACCCCATGTCCTCTCCCCTCCAGCTGAGCTGGGGTCACATCCCTGTGGCCCAGCCCAGAGATAAGGAGGGCCGCGCACCCCACCTGCAGGGAGCTCTCTGCTGAGGCAGTGTGGTCCAGGCTCAAACCCCAGAGGTGTTTCAGAGTTCACAGCCCAGTAAGATGGATGTGGCAATCTGCATCCCTGAGAGCTGTTATGTCAAACTTCTTGCTGACTCAGGTTACACTTGGTTTGCATTTCCTTACACTTGGTTTGCATTTCCAAAACTCCTTTTCAGATCTGTAGAGCTGGAGACAAAAAGGAGGGTTTTTTTTTCCATCTCCCATAGCATATTCCTCCTCACACCTCCTAACTTTAGGTAGGGGCAGAAGTTCAGGGTTTGTTCCCTAGAAGGCTCCCTGTAGAGCTTCTCCTTCACTGTGAGTCAGAATATTTAAACTTTTGTTCTGAATCCCCTTACAAAGGCACTTACCTCCCATCGTGGGTTATATATTGAGCTTTCTCAGGCACTTCAGTTGAGCCACGTGAGTATCTTCCATTTCACGAGAGTGCTTACTCTGGCTGATATGAACACCTTTTATTCGACTCTGTCTTCTGGTTCAGAATCATCTGGGATCAGATCTCAGATTAGTCTCTGCCTTTAGGAAGACAGATTAATACCTGGAGCGTCAAACTGATATTTGTGTATGCATTTCCACCTCGTGGGCTTGTTAAATGGATCATCTTGCCACGAGTGTGAGATACAAGGGCCCCAGCCTTGGCTTCCTGTTGGTTTTCAGGGGAATCTAAGATGCTGCTTTTGACCTATAAATCCCTCAGCAGGCAGCAACTGTGGCATGTGTAAGGCTGCTCCAATATCCGTCTGCAGCCATGTTTCAGTCCCTGTAGCAGTAATCCTTAAATAAGCAGGTCTCTGCCCACGTGAAGATTTCTAGGTCATAGATATCCTGGGTGTTCCTTTGTTTCAATTCAGCCTTGTAATTCAACTCCAAATGAGTGGAGCAGAAAGCTCTTCTGTTTTTAATAATGACTGATTATTGATGTATTATTAACCAATTATTTTAAACCAAGTAAATGAGAACAAATCACCAGCGGTGTATTCCTGCGCCTTTTGAAGGCCTGCTTGAACATGGGAGATGGTGGTTTGAAGTCCTGGATAAAGTAAACAAACAAATGAATGATCTTACTCTCTGTTGCTAAACTTTACAAGGAAAGTGGTGTGCATTTGGACTGTTGCTACCGTAACTAGAGAATTACTATAATTTCAGCTTGTTTGTTGGAATCTAAATGATCAAACAATAATTACGTATTTTTATATATGGAAAAGAGTTACACGAGTGGCAATGGAAAAAATCCAGAAACCTTTTTTTGTCTTTATGCATTACAGTATGCTACAAAGGAGGGCTTGTTCTTGCCGTTATTATTTGCAGCAGCACTTTCCAAATTATGCTGAAGGTGTTCTCCATAGAGGGCTCTGTAAAGTAACAGTGTTATTGCAGATGGCCAGTAATTTATCTGATCTTGTACTGAGTGATCAGCTGTCTTGTCAGAAAACATTTAAGTCTTTCTCAGCAACCTCTCACTGGTTAAAGGCAATTATTATTTCTTCTTGTTGAAAAGAGCTGCAGACTATCTTCTTCCAGTGCCTTGAAAGAACAGGCTCCATTACCGAGCATTTGAAATTTGAGATGGGGGGGCGGAAAATTCCATCAGCCTAGCTGAAAAGTGAAATTACAGAGTGCGTTTGCTGTGAACCGTGTACACAACACAGTGTATCTTAAACAATTTATGTCTTTTATTGTATAGGTAGATATCTCCTTGCAAATGATGCACTTGAAACGCAGCACTGCAATGTGCTTTCTTTAAAGTGAACAGAGGGCTCTTTAGTAATAACAGCTGCCAAATTCCTTTATTTTCTAAACCTCTTTTATCTTGGTCAGGCAAATATAGTTCACTGCTTATCAAACTGGCTTAACAGTCAGAGCTGGCAATGCTTTGTATTTTATTGAGATTGCTATAATTCTGTAATACTCAAACCGACTTGACTATAAGGACACGTGGAAACAGCAGAGGATGCACGTTGTGTGATTACTATCTGTTAGTACCTCTTCCTGCATATAATCGGAGTCAGGAATAGAGGTACGTTGTATTCATCACACTCCTAATGCAGCTGAATGAAGCAGCAGACTGGAATATTCCTTTCACGTTTGTCCTGCTTAAAAATGTTCATAAATTGCCTTTCTGAGGGACAGATGAGAAGCCCAGCTGCTCTCACCTAAGAATGATGTGCAACAGTGAACCAGAGAAGTCTGTGTTGAAAATATGTCCTTGCATCTGAGCTTCAGCAAAATGAAATGAAAGGGAAAGGGCTTAAGCAAGAAGTTTCAAGGGATAGTGTACAGGGGAAGGCTATTGTTTCTGAGGGACAGAAATCAGCAGCTTCCTTGGAAAAATCAGAACAGAGGACTAAAGGAGCATAAGGTGGCAGGTGTGGAGGATAGAAAAGGAAGAAGGCATCATCAGAGAGGAGCTGAAGGAAGCTTAGAGAGCAGTGATTACCAAAGCTTTGGTCATGGAGGCTGGGATCTGGTCCTGGATGCTCTCTCCTTCCCTGGGGAGCCTGCTCTGTATCCTTCAGTTCATCCCATCCCCCTCTGCCTGCCATTTTCCAAATTTAGCTCAGAAAACACTTAATCCTGGGATCCGTCATGCCACAGCTTGAGCTTTTCATCTTCTTCTTATCCCCTTTATCACAGGGAAGAAGCCCTGTATCTGGTTGGCCTTGAGAATCATCCGACTTTGCCAGAGACAAGGACAATTTAAAAATTCTTTGTAAACTGATACAAAGATCAGAGGATAGATTTGGAGAACTTTTTTTACTGGGAGTTTGGGAAGACTAGAGGCCAGCTTTGCGTTGTGTCTGATGACAAATGGAGTCCAACAGAAGTGATAACCGAAAAAGGGGGCTGGAGGTTCAGGTGATGGTATGACATGAGCTAAATCAGGCAAACAGTCTCAACTTGGCATTCTGGACTCTGAGCAAGGTGACTGAAACCCATAAAGCTGAGAATTACAGCAGAAAAACAGGGGAGTGATTTGTGTACAGCTAAGGTCCACAGCAGAGGCAGTGTCAAGGAAAAGTATGAAGTCTGGCAGCAGGTCAGGGATAGTGGTAAGCAATCTAATGTCAATGGTGCTGCTGAAAGAAGACGCCAGTCCATTGAAAAGTCAGAATACAAGAAAATTCTGAGTTAGTTAGTTAAAAAAAAGTATCAGAGACACAAAGCAAGGAGATAATTCGAACTCGGAAGCACTGTGTGTTTGTTTTAAACAGTCATAGGAGAAGTAGTTACCAGCTGGGTGTCATCCACGTAAAAGAACTGGGTTTGGCAAAGAAAAGAACAACATACCCCACTGAAGACTGCGCTTGAAGAATATAAATCCCATGCTGGAGTCTTGTGCTCTTTTTTTGAAGTGAGAGCCATGTAGAGTTGTGTTGTAACGTGATTTCCATTATCTGTCCCCAGCGTCCTGCCCAGTGCTGTGCAGTGGAAACGGGCAGTACATGAAGGGGAGGTGCTTGTGCCATAGTGGCTGGAAAGGAGCAGAATGTGATGTCCCGACAAACCAGTGCATTGATGTCTCCTGCAACAACCACGGCACGTGCATCATGGGGACCTGTATCTGCAACCCCGGATACAAAGGCGAGAGCTGTGAAGAAGGTATTTGCAAGATACATTCAGTTACCCTTTTGCTTTGCTTGTCGTTATGTAATTACATGGATGGAGGCAATTCAGAATAGGACTGGCACTTAACGGAACAGTAATAGGCACCTTAGAGATACAATAGTTGGATGCAACATAAAAATGATATGTTGTAATAACTTGTCGTTAGCTATCATATTTGTTTAATAATTGGATGAAAAGCCATCAAATACTTCAAACAGACAAATCTAGTTGAAAGACCGGAACATCTAATCATATGTTCAAATGTTCTTATTAAAGCATCGTTTTCATTTACACATCTAAATGTATAATTACTTGTACAGCGCTTTCTTCTCTGCTGTGCTATGCCAAGCTATTTCAGTTGCTTGCATACACAAAATGGTGGCACGTGAGAGAAAGTCCCTGATTCTTGTCAGCTTTAAAAGCTTCAAAAAGCTCAGGCCTTTCATTAAATTCTGTTTCAAACCCAGTACTATTTCAATGCCTCTTCCACAGCTTTTTTCTCACATTAGCACCCAAACATTTTTCATTTACATTTAGATTTGTGGCTCAGAAAGATGGTGCCTTTTAGCACTTAACCTTTAATCTTAGCTTTTACTGTAGGAATTCACCTGCCACCATAAACCTTTATCCTCCCAAGTCTGTGACTGCTTCTTATTACTAAATGAAAAAGTGGACAGATTTGTAAGTGTACAAATCTTTCGGACAGTTATAAAAATACATCCAAAAGCGCCTGGCTTAAAGAATGATGTTCAACACTTTTGAAAGCTATTCTCAAAATTCTATGCAGATGACCTGATAAATAATTATGTTTAAATTACACTTCTACAAATACACATGTGAGACCTGTGCACCACCTGACAGATTTAAGACATCCACTTGATGCATGTCTAAGACTCACAATGGCTTCAATTAATTTATGGTTGTCTTCATGTATGCAGGATAAAGATTTATCTGGAATGGCTTTATTTTACGGACAATGAAAATAGACTGAATTGGATTCAGACGTTCAAATGGCATCTAATCTAGCAATTCTTTTGATGCATTAAACGTATTGGAGTGGGACATCTCTGACATAACGTGGCTTCATTGTCAGTAAACATTAGAGCTGAAGACAGTATCAGCTCCATAACAATAAAGCCATCTCTCGAGAAAGCTTCATTTTGCCTTAAGAAAGCACAATTCAATGAAGCCATAGGGCATGCAAAACCCAAAGATGGTGACTACTGAAGTATCTTTAAAGCGTCTCCATAGACCTCGTATTTACTAGTTCATATCTTTACTGGATAAACAGAAATGAAAAGATCCTGATTTTGCCTCTAGCCAGACGTGTTTAATGTGTGTAAATCAGAGTAAGATTTGCCCTTTTTCCAACAGGAACCTTTTTTTTCTCTGGTCACGTTTAAAGCAGAAAAGCCAGACACTACTCAGTTATTTTATGTTATCACTGTAGTAGGGGACGGTGTCAGTCCCACTAGGTAAAAACTTGAAAAAGAATGAAGAACAAAGAGAACATGATTTTCCTTATGATCCGTTTAGTATGTTTCCAAGTATGCATTTGGTTTTGATATTCAAGGCATAATTTGCATTGTGTTTTGAGGGGGGGAGTAACTCAGAAATATGCCATGTGGGAAATCTTGAGGACATATATATATATATATATATATATATGTATAGTAAAAAAGTTGATTTATACTATTTTTAAATTGCTTTTACTTTTTAATTTCTCTTCTAAGAAGGACCATCTGGTATTGATTATTTTTTATTATTTCTCAGTTCTCGTAGCTTCACTACTTAGTCCATGTTTATAATAGGTTTTCATTCCAGGGTTTCTTCTGTCTTTTCTTTTCCCCCCCATAGAAGTTCAGCAATGTTTATAAAACATCAGCCAACAATCTTACATGAGTTTTTCTTTTCTCCTTCCTTAGTTTATTGGCCCATATTTTATAAGGCATGGGCTAAGCCAGCGAGACATTAAAGGGAGGGGAGCAAATTTAAGCAGTGAAAAATGAGAAGTTACTCTTTGGGTACCGAATAAGCCTAATAACTTGTGTGACCAATGAAGCATGCAGCATATTGGGGAAAAGTGTAGAAGAGGCACTAACCTTGCTTGCTGCATGATTTATCTCCCTGGCAAAGGCTCTGCACAAGGCTGAACTATAAATGGGGCATTTTCCAACCAGGAATTAGACCATCTGGGACACTTTCCAAGCAGCAACACAGATATATGCAAAACTCTCTTTTTTTTTTTTCTTTTTCTGAGTATACTAGATTTTGTCAGCTCTGCCCTCCTGCCCCGCTCCCCATCTCAGCTTCTCCCAGAGCTGAGCAGCTAAATTTGTCAAGCAGAACTCCCTAAAAATATGCCATTGTACTCCAAATCCACTAAGCAATTGATTAAGAAGAAAGCAGAAGCCCGTAATCCTGTCCCAGGGCTCTTCCGATGGTGCAGAAAGCCTAAAGAGATACAGCTAGTGAGGCTGAGATTAAAGTAGCCATTGTGTGTGACATTTTCTGAAAGGGCTCATTTCAACATGAAAAATGGCCTTGGGATTATGATAAATGGGAGGTTCTGACATGCACATTCCCCTCCTATAATCGTCTGTGTTGGAGCTGAGATAGCAGATTGTCTGCCTCCTGTGATGGAGCCCCCTGTAAAACTCACCTTTTTCCCAATTGACCTTCAGAGGGGATGATTAATTGCCTGGAGGTAGCCTCTTGTCAGTTAGGCTGTGATCTTTGTTCTCTATGTTCAAACCATCTGCTGAGAACGTACGAGGCTGCTAGTCCGTTTCTTAGTCCTTTTCGTACTTATTACCGCTGAGAAAGAACAGGGCCAGGTCTTCAAGGGTCTCATGCTAAAATTGGCACCCTAGCTCCCAGCTCGCTAACAGTGAAGGAGATTTATAGACTCATCCTTTCCAGCCTCTTACAATTTTTTGAGGATTGTTCCAGCTACGAGCAGGGCTCCAGGAATCAAAACAGAAAACGCTCTCACATGCCTTGGGATAGTAATTGCTGAGCCATTACTTGTCAGACTGAGAGGGTTTTGAGATTCCGGGGAATTATCAGAGCAGCTGTTGTGTTTCTTTTTAAGGTTTCTGGATCTTAAACAGGTCATTGGGATTCTTATTAGCTTTTACAGGGGGGGTGGGAAATGAACCACAAACCTGAAGTGTGTGCAGTGGCCGTGTTGTGCTCTGCTGTTTTAGAGCCAGGAGCTGGACAGCTTTCTCCTTACTGCTTAGCCAGACTGACACTTGTCACTGATCCCCAGGGCACTGCCACACACCGTTTCAAGAGATGGGAAGAATTTCTCTAGGCTGTCCTATAAGCGTTTATATATAAATAGATGATCGACTCCTCCAGTCCTTTTTTGGGAGGGTGTCTGGTGTGTTTCATATTTTTTGATTGCTGAGTGAAATTTCCCCGTGGGCAGAGGAGGTGACAGTTGCCTACAAAACACATAAGTCAGGAATCAGGCGGCAGTACATTTGGTCTTTTGGTGCACACTGCTATACCATGCACCTAACTGAATGGTTTCCAAGCTCGTTAAGAAAGTGCCTCTTTGGGAGAAAAAAAAAATCAAACAACCCAACCACCCCGTAACATTTCAAAAAGATTATTAATTGATCAAAAATAAACCCAGAAGAACACCAATATCAAAAAATACATGATTTTGTTTTAATCCTTACTCCAGAAAACTGTCTAAGATTATGTTTAACGTGAAATTTATGTCTGTGAAACCGGTATAGATTTCAGCACATTCTTCAATTTAAGCATGTATTTTGCTGAATAAGGACATCAACTTCTGCTGAATCTTTATGTAAAATTCTCTCTCAGAAAACTAGAGCTCAGCTCTGAATTCATTAGTAATAGTAATTTAGGTTATTCTAATAGAATAAATGGAGGCACAGTGTCTGCGCAAGAGAATATTATTCTTATTCTATTCTTAATTGATATTAGACTGTTCTTACTAGAAAGATCATTTATTAGAGTAGGCCTGGATAAAAGAATGGATTTAATCATTAATATTTTTGCTGTTTTTCATGTAAGTGTTTTAGGTCTCACTGCCTCTTTGGGACATTATCTTGTGTAAAGCATCTCTTTTGTGCACAACAGGACTTTGCTTTTCTGGTTGGAACCTTGAGATATTATACTATATAAATATGTTTGTGTAGATGACAGTCTTATAGCTTTTTTTTCTGAAATTCCCATTTGCTTTCCCTGTTTCCTATTCCTTCTCACACGTAGTGGACTGCATGGATCCTACCTGCTCGGGACGAGGCGTGTGTGTGCGAGGAGAATGTCACTGTTCGGTTGGCTGGGGAGGAACAAACTGTGAGACCCCAAGAGCCACTTGTCTCGATCAGTGCTCTGGTCATGGGACCTTCCTCCCGGATACTGGGCTCTGCAGCTGCGATCCCAACTGGACTGGACACGATTGCTCAATTGGTAACGTCAGCGGTGACTTACTGTTGGTTTTTATTTTATTTAAACTTTGGAAAATATTCAGACTTAGATCTGCAGAAAGAGTACTACAGCTGTGTTCCAGTAAAGCACATGTAGGGCATGACTGGAAGCAGAAATGCCATAGCTCAACTACATAAATAATTCTGCTTCTATTGCTGAGCATAGAGTAATATAATAAATAACCCCATTAAAGCCACCTAGGCTTGCTATTGTTCATTATATTGCTATGAGTGTAATTGATGGTCTACATATAACTGCTTTTTCTGGTGTTCGTTCTTGATGAATCCCAGTAGACACCAAAGGGTATGTTTTGATTTTTAGGAGATGACTAAATATTCTTTAGGTGGCTGTAAACAAGAAGGAAGAGGCAGCAATCCTTCAGGTCTCCTTTCCCTTCTGAATTTAAAGGCTGTGCTTTTGTAGGCTCAGCTAAAGGAGGATGAGTGTCACATGAGGTTCATATTGAAAGAAAGTAAGCACTGTCCTCTGTCAAGTAAAAAGTAAGTTAACTGAGTAGAAGCATTTAATAGTACAGGCACCTACCAGGAAGACAGATTTCTATGGTCAGTTTTGTGTAAAGGTCTGGGACTGTGACCTTCCTTCATTCCTCAGCTGAATGGGCATCTTGCTCAAAATCTGCATCGGGCATCTGAAATGAAGGGTAAAGGTAAACTATTTGGGAGTCTTCTCTTCCAAATGCAGTTAGCTTTTCGATGCCGCACGGAGAAATGCTATAGTACATTGAATAGTCAGAACCTATAGAACATTATTCTTTTGGCTTTTGTGCCGTATATTGTGCTCACAAACAAGAGACCACAGCAATAACAGCTTCTTTACTTTGCACAGCTGAGGTGGAACTAGGCCAAAAATCCAGGGCAGCTCAGTATAGACAATGAAATGAAATGAATTTTCAGTAAGTATTTTAAGAGACCCAATTCCAAAGATGGGACAAACTGAATAAACTGGTACGAGGGATATAAAAAGAAAACCTTTTCAACAATCATCATTTAGGTTAGATGTTAGGAAGCTTGTCAAAAAGTAAAATTGACTGGGCTGAAGAACAAGCAAAAGAGGAGACCTACTAGCCTGGGGCTAAGACTAGGTTGATCAAAACTTTTCCAGGTGTAGGGAGGGAAGCTATCCTGCATTGATGGGAGGATAAATTTGGTGTCCGGCTTTTCCTTTCGCCATATTAACACTTCAATTCCATACTCTATGAGTTCATTTGTAAGACCACCATGAGGAGAAAGGTAGTAGTGTATTTCTAGTGATTTTGTAGCATAGTTCATGATTGAGTCATTATTCTGAGTTTATGGGGAGGTTTGGGGATTGCAGGGATGGATTTAGAAAAATGTTCATTTCTACCCGCAAACAGAATTCACTTTCCTTTTGTTAACCTGCAGGGTCATGTACAGATGATTTATAAGCTTTCCTTATACTGCTTTTATAAATGCATCTAGTGCAAACTTTCTTTGGCAGTGTGAGGTTATTTGAGACAAACTTGAGCATCATTCCAAGACCTTTTTCCTCACCGAGCTGATTGTAACGTTCAGGTTATTGTGCCTCATGGCTAAAATCACAGCTAAGGTGATTTGTAAACTTCTATGTCTAACCTGGACCTTTCCACTGAATTGATGACTTGATTTGAAAGACAGATTTACTCACAGGTCCGTGGTACTCTTCTTGCATGATTAAAATAGAGTGAGCAAGCATGTTAGTACACATAACAACACACTGCCCAACCCAGTGGGGTGGAGGCTCTGTAGAAGGGACTAAAGGGGACAGGTTTTTATTGTCCTATAAAACAGGACTGAACAGAACAGAAGAATTAAGTGAAAGAATTAAGTACTTGCATAAATCAACCTCAGTTCAGCAAAGCAGTTTCAGTTAAAGACACAGTTACAGACTGTGTTCATCCCACTGAAATCTATAGAACTGTGCCTATGTGGGCTGGGGCCAAGGACAGCCCCTTCTGTAAACCACATCAAGAAGCAGACCCTGAGAACAGAGCAATCATCTGGAAATAGAGAACAAAAAATGTGGAAGCACAGTGTGTTTTCCACCTCTTAACACCTTGAAGTCAATAGTAATATTTATCTAAAATCCTGCATGCTGTACCCATTTAGAAGGCATCAGTCAATATGGAAGTAGGTAGGTGGAAGTCTGTGGGCTGTTATAGGTAGAAAGGAAAGCTTAGACTCTCTTTGAACCTTAGACTCAAGTCTTTCAGCTAAGTAGGTAGATTTCACCTGCAGGTGTATCACTAGCAGGTATCTTAGAGGAGTACAGATTGCTAGATAAAACCCTTAGGTTTGGGGTTTTTTTTTTCCCAAAATAATAATATTACAGAGATTTCTGTTTCCTGTTTATATTATCTTATTTTTTTTTCATTCCACTTAGCCTGCGTCTTCAGAGACAATCTGTGCAATTCAATTTCTTGTGAATTCTACTCTGCACTGCATTGTAAGAAGGAGTAATGACACAGGGTTCTTTTTTTGCTTTTTGTGGGTGCCCACTGCCAATATACCTTGAGATAGGGCTGCTGCCATACTACCTCAGATTTTTCACTCGGGGAAAATGCTTCTTAAACATGCTTCACCCTTTCATGCAAGGGATCCCCTTTCCCTCAGTATGCACTTATTTTTTTGGTAGATTCCCAAATATTAAAAATGTCTTTTAGAGAAAGGTGCAGAGATAAGCCCTGAGATAACCTGTACTGAGCAGTAAAATAGCATTTTGATTTCTCCATGGGAGAACTAAATCCCTTCCCTTTTGCATCTTAGTACTGTTGCATAAGCACATACAAAAAGGTCCTTTATAACTCAGTTCAGCTAAAAAATCCAAGGCAATACAAGATAATACAAGAAAGATAATTAAGGAACCACTCGTCCTAACCCCTTTTCTCCAGAGTCTGCCATCACAGATCCTCTGTATCCCAGGCCCTTATATGCTATTCCCCTTCACCTCTTAATGAGCAAAGGACTTCATTCCCCAAATTCTGGCCACTAATGAAGTCATTATAAGGCAGCTCTCTTAACCTCTTATTGTCTGAGTATAGTGGGAAGAAGGCCCGTGCTGCAATGTGAAACAGAACGTAATATGTGGCATAGTCTCACTCTTGACCTATTTAAACTGGACCAAGTATTTCTGGCTAATCAAGAGGCACCAAAGCACACACCATAAGACATATTTGCTGAGTGCAGTGCAATGAATAGGTGAGTCGAGTCACGTTATCTGCATTTGGGGAACGCACCATTTCCCACAGAGATCTCACTGATACATCAGTATAATCCCAAACCCATCAAAACCGTATTATGCTTGGATACAAAATCATTCTTAAAGTAATTAAGTTATCTAGTGTTGTTCTTCATTCTCCTCCAATTTAAATCAGTGATTTTCACACTGTTCTCTGTTTGGTAGTTGACATCTTGACATGCACGATATTCACTAGAATCATCGGAAAGTTGATTATACAAAGCAGCAATAGAAATTATGTTCCGTCTGTAATAAGTGTACTGACTTTTTCTGGGCCGTTGACAGTGGTTGTACATTGACCTGCATACAGATAAAAATTCCTTCTCAATCACTCATTCGTAATGACTCACTTTCTGCACGGTTGACATCCAGTGCAGTACTTCAGACCCTTAAAAGTACACTGGAGAAGAGCAGTAATAGGAACAGTACTTTGTATACGGTGGTCCTAAATTGGCAGTGGAGACATAAAATCATGGGCTGTACATTTAATGGCAAGAGTTGAGAACTGGAAGCTGGGACTCAGTAAAGAAGTTAGAAGGTACGAAGTTTTACTTCACATTTCGAGAAGGCTAAGAGAGCATGCCTGACCAGAGACGGAGGCTGAGCTTGCATGACCACATCTCATGAAATCTGGTAGTTTGTTCCTATTCGCAGCTTCTCTCATCACTTGTGCTGCTAACAGTGTTTTCTGAGGATATGTCATTCGGCTTTGTGACTGCCCTTTTTCCCCTCTGTGACAGGGAGGAAGTGTCTCCTCAGTCTGAGAAAGCATTGTATGTGCCCTCTCGCTTCTTGGGAGAGTATCCCACCTACCAGGGCAGTGCAGATGCTACAAGGAACCATCTCAAAGAAAAGAATGAACTGGCTGGGATGATCCAAAGGGATGCCAAAGTTGAGGACAGGGGTTATGCCCTGAACCTTAATGTCTGCTGGGCATTATTCTAAAGCAGAGTGAGTGCCTGCCATCTGGGACAGTTGCAGACCATCCATCTCCTCATGATTTCCAGCTCCTGGCCACACTTAGTGTGACTAGAAATGTTATAAATGTCTTTAGTGGACAAAAAGAAAAGAAAAAAAGGTTTTGGATTCATGCCCAGTTCCATGCCATCCCCTCCTGCTTTTAGGCTTCCCATGACATTACCAATTTAGTGGGATAGGTGTTCTAGAGAGGATAAATCTCTGCAGAGGGCTGTTCAGATTTTAGTGAAGTGAAAATCCTTGAAAGAGAGCTTAATTGATTCTTCATTGATTCAGCTGCCTTCTTATTTGGGTACTTCATGTTACTTTAGAACAGTCTGGGTTTCAGCTTTGGAGAGATCCTCAGTTCTGCCAAATAACTGTAGAAGGCTCAGCAGGCACCATGATCACATACTCCTCAGGAAAGAAGCAATTACAGAACTGTGGCATTTAACATAAAAAATAGGAAACCGCCTCTTAGCCCGTGTGATCAGCTAAAAACAGCTTAGGAGGGGCTTCAGACTTCCATGTAGTAATCACAGGACTTGCAGATACGCCTGGATAAACCTGGCCTCCATGCACAGTGGGGAAGTCGCATCGGTATCCATAGGGCTAGCAGAAGACCAGGTATTTACTCACCATTTGTAAAACAGTCCTCCATGGCTTTGCTGGTTTTTGATAGGCTGAGAATCTGAATTTAAAATAAAACTAGCGTGGTGTGTGTATCCTCATCTCTGACTGCAGGGAAGCCATATCCTTATGAATTATTG